CCTAAAATCACGCTTACCCAATTCACTTTAACATCAATGCAGCCGCACAATATACGCGACGCTTCGTCTACACAGACCACCACCAAAACAACCCCCAGCCCAGCCTCGCTGACTAATTCATGCAACACCTGCAAAACACATGTTACATTATCTCCCCCTTCCCCAAGACGATGACTACCCTGTCATCGATTCAGCGTCCCCGCTGATCTACACTTCAACCTAAACCTAAATAAATCAAAAAAAATATTACTACCCTAATACTTTACTAACTCAACCCAACGAGAGAAACGTCTTTATGTCTGATTAAACAACCCACAATCAATACACAAACATAACAACAATCAAAATACAATAGGAAAAAACATATGAAGCATAAGGCTTCCTATACAAAACAAGTAACGATAAAGTTCGATCACCATACAAGTCAGAAACTCAACACATTTGGCAGTGAACATTTTGATATCGCTGCAATTACCCTCACTCTTGCTTCTTTTTATGCTGTAACGTACGTGGCGTATGCGTATACCGACATGCATTACCTAAACCACGTTTAGCCATGTGCTCCATTCATAATCCTCATTTAAACCTCTTAATCCCATTATTAACACACAGCACCGATGTGGACCTGACAACCTTTGTCACTTCCACAGATCATACAGCCAACAAAAATACGCAAAACTGATTTCATATTTTCGATGAAATGTTTTAGGCCTATCAAACTCTAATTGAAGAATGTGTTTAGCAGTCTGACAATATAGCGTAAACGTACCGTTAACACAAATTCAAGAAAACGATCACACATTTCTACACAAAGTTTCACACAAAAGATTTTCCACACAAAGACCGTCACGGTCACAAGCATCTACCATGAAAAAAAAAATACCGCGTACATAAAACAAACAAAAAACAAATAAAAATACACATTCCTGACGATGTCACACTTTCACGTCCTCTGTCTCTGCTCTGTCAGCCTTGCCTTCTCTGTTCTGCTCTCCTCTCTCTCTCTCACATAGGTCGAGACTCGGACTTGCCCTCGCAGTATCACGGATGCAACACCAGCCCTTCCTTCCTTCACGCTGACTTACTCACATAGTTCTCACGCCGTGTGTATCCACCGTTCTCTCTCCCGCGTCTCGCTCTGTTCGTCCCGTCTCGCTCTGTTCGTCCCGTCTCGCTCTCCGCCATTCTTCGTCTCTGCCGATCGCCTCTCCGTCATTCTTCGTTTCTCCTACTATTGCTCCTGTTCCCGTCTCTCTCTCTCTCTTTTCCTCCGTCTCTCTTGCTCTCTCATCCGCTCTCCGTTTCTCTCACTCCAGTTTTCTTGCTAGCAGTGTACCCAGCGACTCCTGTGGCTTCTTCCTTCTCCATCTTCCTTGCGTAGTATGGCCCATAGATCGACATAACGAATCGAGTACCTTACGTTGCGTCCGCAAAGGAATACCCAGGTTTTTGACTGTCACTGGCACCAAATGTACTCTACCCAACCTAAGCCTACTATTACTAATGTACATCTGTACACCACATGTTACATACACATTATTCAACATAGGACAGTTCTAGGAGTTTCCTTGCATGACTCTCAAACACAGGTTTGTCTGTACAGATGCATGCATGCACTCACCCATTTGCACGTGACCTCTCTGTGCACAGATGGACAGCACGGGCTTACTGAGCGAGCCAACCTTGTAGCGGATGTCAACATCAAGGCCACGTTTGATCAGCTGACCTGCTGCCTCAAGGTCATTCTTCTGTACAGCCAAGTAGAAGCTGCATCTGTCCTTCCACAACATCTTGTGCCTCACCTCCAGATATACAGACAAACTTGTGTTAGCGGACACCACTTATGCAAAAAGAGACCTGTCCATAATTAAAGAACACTTTCGGTTGTTTTGCTTGAGTAGGGATTATACTCTGAAATCACTTCTCCAGACTGGAAAACGTTTCCACAGAGGCAACGTTTGAGGTTTCCTTTAGGTTACCCCTATAAACAGATAGTTTTATACATACATGTGCATAACAATGCGTATATATCAGTGATAGAAATAAAAGCCAATCTGCAAGTCTGGGATTGGTAACCTTTCAGTAGGACTGGCTAATTTTGATCGATTTCACTATAGCTCATACAGTAGAAATACAAATTGTCAAAACCAGCAGAAATGGCTGGATTTTTAGACCTATTTCCACGACTTATTTCTCATGGACTGGTCCAGCATGTCTGTATACGAGCCGATACACATCTACAAAGATCATGGTTAAAGCGGCCAGCCTGACATGACACAGTTAGGTGCTAATCTACTCACATATGTACGTACATAGATGCACACATGCATTGACTCAGCCCACACTACACCCAAGCACGCGCACGCACACACACGCGCGCGCGCACACACAACACACACACACACACACACACACACACACAGACACGCACGCACGCACGCACGCACGCACGCACGCACAAACACACTTACTTTACCTCTGGCTGGCCGTGAGCCGTCTCAGAGATACGGTTTACTTTTTCACCAGAATCACGTTGCTCTAGGCTTCAGTCTTGAGTCTCATCAGATCAATACGAGACCAGATATCGGCGCACGTGCTGCAACATCACTCGGCCCCCAGTCTTCCCGTCACGGTGCTTGAATATGAAAATAAAACTGCGAGTTCTCAATCAGATGCCGATAAGTGCAGCTCATAGGATCTATGTCCCCCAGGGTACTGCCGGAACGTACCCTGGTACTATCTAATATGCTCTACACGT